AACACCTTCCTCTCTCTTTGTCCCAGTACTATTTAGTCCCGTTAGGTCCTCCAGGATCTCCAATTATCTTCCCAATGGCTGCTTGTGCTCTCCTCAGTGACAATGGTGGCGATCGCATCAGCGGCAATGGCAGTAGTAACAACAACAACAGCGATAGCCTCGGCGGCGGTGGAGGAAACCCTTCTTACCCCATGAACAACACCACTACCAATTCCAACAGCAGCAGCGTCGAGCAGCAGCCACCCAAGATGGTGAGAAAGCGAATGGCGTCTGAGATCGAAGTCCAAACCACCCTGACAAGCAGAACCGCCGGTTCGGACTATTTCAGGCTTTCCCGCCGCGGGATTATTAATAATAGTCCGCCAGTCCAGCCGGTTAGTCAAAATCCAAACGCCAGTAAAGTGAATAGTAGTATGTTTTATCCCAACCACTCCACTATGCTGTTACCAGTACCATCTTCCACAAATTTGGCCGCTTTGACGTCACCTGGTGGGGCTTTTTTGTCGCCTACTTCTCCTTCTCCTTCTCCTTCTTCCGCTGCAGCAGCCGGCACCTGGGGTCCTATCGATCCATTGTCTTTTCATCGTCCTCCTCCGGTTCAGCCGACGACGACCACCCAGACCACTACTACTCCTGCCGTTTGTGGGTTTTCAGGCCTGCCGTTGTTTCCGCCGGAAAAGACTACTCCTTTGAATACTAGTATTACTGCTACTACTCCGTCGTCCGTGTCCATGGAAGACGGGTCCTCCGCCGCCACGGCGTGGATAGACGGGATCATAAAGGACCTCGTCCACAGCTCCACCAACGTCTCCATCCCCCAACTCATTCATAATGTTAGGGAGATTATCTTCCCTTGCAACCCCAGCCTCGCCGCTCTTCTGGAGTATAGACTCCGGTCAATATCCGAGCCGCTGCCGCCGCCTCCTCTGCCTCTTCCAGTTCCAAGCTTTAATCCAACCCCAATCCCCGACATGAGGAGGAGACAACAAGGTGGTCCTGGCCCTGGGGCTCTTAAGCTCAATCTGGACTCTGGTGCAATACATGACGTTGCAATCTTCAACCCATCAACGTTGGAAAACAATGACTTGTACTTGCAGTCGTGGTCTGGAGGAGCTGGCGGAGGAGGAGTTGGGCTGTCCCTACCCCAACCCAACCCTACTGCTGCCCCTATCACCTGCAACCAAACCAACCCACATCACCAAAGCCCTTCCTTCAATCAGGCAATTCATCAAACACAAGACAAGCAGTTGGAAAACTCTTCATCATCCTCCCCTGCGGCGGAGTCCACCACCCCAACAGCTGCACCCGCACCCACAACCATCTCCGCCACTGCCCCGCCAGAACCAACAACCTCAGCAGTATCCCTACTCAGAGAGAAAAAAGAAGAGATACGGCAGCAAAAGCGAGACGAGGAAGGCCTCCACCTCCTCACCCTCCTCCTCAAATGCGCGGAGGCCGTCTCCGCCGACAACTTCGACGAAGCCACAAAAATCCTCCTCGAAATCTCGGAGCTCTCCACCCCGTTCGGCACCTCCGCCCAGCGCGTCGCCGCCTACTTCTCTGAAGCCATGTCGGCCCGCCTCGTCAGCTCCTGCCTAGGCATCTACGCCTCCCTCCCTCGCTCCTCCGTCCCCACCACCCACACACAAAAAATGGTCTCCGCCTTCCAAGTCTTCAACGGCATCAGCCCCTTCATCAAGTTCTCCCACTTCACAGCCAATCAGGCGATCCAGGAGGCGTTCGAGCGGGAGGACAGGGTTCACATCGTCGATCTCGACATAATGCAGGGTCTCCAATGGCCCGGGCTGTTTCACATCCTGGCCTCCAGGCCTGGTGGGCCTCCGTACGTGAGACTCACCGGCCTCGGAACCTCAATGGAGGCCTTGGAGGCCACAGGGAAGCGGTTGTCCGACTTCGCGGACAAGCTAGGGCTTCCATTTGAGTTCTTCCCCGTGGCGGAGAAAGTTGCGAACTTGGACCCGGAGAGGCTGAATGTCAGCAAGAGAGAGGCTGTGGCGGTGCATTGGCTTCAGCATTCGCTTTACGACGTCACGGGTTCCGATTCCAGCACGCTCTGGCTTTTGCAGAGGTAACGTCTCTTCAATTCTACCCAGTCCATTCGACTGCAATGCGATTCCAACACGCTCTGGCCCTTACCACTTTTTCTGGTTAATATAATTATATATCATGAAAAATTCGAACTGGGTTTCTTTTGGGTTGCTTTTTTGGTGTCCTTGATCGATGTTGGTGATCAAAGTATCAAACTTTATTAAGCACTATAGCACTATTGCAGCGCTGACTAATTATTTAACAAATAGTGTTACGTTGGGTTTAGATCAACTGCAACTTTCATGCACTTTCCAAATCTGGTAACTGCAAAAAGCTGCACCTTCGTAGTGGGGAAGAAGCAAAAATTAAAGATTTCATACTTTTCTTTTTATTCCGTTTATTTCTGATCTTTAAATTGAAAAAGTTGAAGAAGACAGAAATAGAATTAAACATAAGTGTGCTTAGGAGAAATGAGTGTTCGAAAATAATTTTCCGTGTTTTAATCAACGGCAATATTCAAACTTGGATACATTTTTTATCCTAGATTGAATAAATCGAAGGAGGTTTTATGAGTAGAATTAAATAGGAGTGTGCATCAAAAGAAAATGAGTTTTTGAAAATAATTTCCGCATTTTATTCCGCGTGCAAGATTTAAATTTGGGTACAAGGGTCGGACTATGTCTCATGTCTGCATGCTTTATTAGATATTACAATGCACATGTTTTAAATATATAATTTATTTTTTTTTCTGTTACTATATATTGATTCAGATTGGCGCCAAAAGTGGTAACTGTGGTCGAGCAAGACCTGAGCCACGCGGGGTCGTTCTTGGGCCGGTTTGTGGAGGCCATACACTACTACTCTGCCCTGTTTGATTCCTTGGGAGCGAGCTACGGCGAGGAGAGCGAGGAGAGGCACGTGGTGGAGCAGCAGCTGCTCTCCAGAGAGATTCGTAACGTTTTGGCAGTGGGCGGGCCGTCGAGGAGCGGAGAGGTGAAGTTCCACAACTGGAGGGAGAAGTTTCAGCAGACCGGGTTCAGGGGGATTTCCCTGGCGGGAAATGCTGCAAATCAGGCCTCCTTGCTGCTCGGGATGTTCCCTTCCGATGGGTACACTCTGGTGGAGGACAATGGGACTCTTAAACTGGGGTGGAAGGATCTCTGCTTGCTCACCGCTTCTGCATGGCGGCCGCCGTTTCATGCCGCCGCTAATCCAAACCTACACTATTGAGATGCTTTTGTCCATGTATGCATGAATATGATGCTTGGCGTCGGCGGTTGATGAGTTTGAATGTATTATCTTGTTGTGCTTGCCCTACTTTAATCTTTTTTTAGTTGAAATTGATGTTGAGTTTTGGAAGAAAACTTGGGTTTGGGGTCTATGGGCCTTGAGGAGGGAGAGGCTAGGCCTTCTACATATATATTCGAAAATTATTTATCGCACATTTTTTTTATCAGTGAACGGTTGAGATTTAACTAAATAAGCTATAGTTAAATCTCAACCTTTCCTTTTTTTTCTAAAATAATGCTCAGGTGAGCCTTGCTCTTGCTCCGTCAGGCTTTGGACCATTGCCAAAAAATCTACCCTGTTGCATCGCGTTGGAGTCTGGTACGTATCTCAGTTTTAGTGTGGTTTGAAGATCCTCTGGGACCAACTACTGATCATTTTTAATAGAGAAATACTACTAAACTAATAATTCAACGTTCAATACCCTATTTACAAAACAAACGTGTTACGTTTGATTCAACACCGTCCAGGGCAATTTGGAACACTAGTCTTTTATGGAAGCGCTAGTAACATTTGCACTAACTTTTGCATTTAGACATTTTCACTTTTATCAAATATTATGTATCACTTCGTACATAAAAACAAGACATTTTAATGATTTCAGCTAGGGATTAAAGATGCAAAGCATAAAATATAATTTCAAAGACGTTAAATGTCTGGTTTTTGTGTAAAAATTAACATGACGTTTAATAAAGTAAAACAGCCTGAATGTAAAGATAAGTGCAAAGGTTGCTAGTCGAAAACTTTGCCACTTCCGAGTCAGGTTGTCTTCAACTCGTGCTTCTTAATTGTCGAAAAGCATAAGCTACTATCTTACCATGTTGCATTAACACGCAACCCAAACCCTATTGTGAGACCTCATTAGAGCAATTCCACCGGGAGGTGGTTAGGCCGACACTCATCCAAAAAACAAGGCTGGCACTCAGCCGATCCACTTCAGGCCGTTCCATTGCCTGGCACCCAGCCCAAGCTAGTCTCCAGGCCAGCCCAAAATTGACAAACCTTAAGACCGGTCCATCTGATGTCAGCGTGGCGTCGAAGGGCATATGATGTCAGCCTTTTTTTTTTTTTTTTTGCGCCAGAGATGGCGTTGTTGTGGAGGTGAGGAGCGGAGCTGGTGGAGGCGGGAGAGGGTGTCGGGAGGGAAAGAGCCACGGAGGGAGAAGGACGGGAGGACGAAGCAACGACATCGAAGGTGTGGAGATGCAGGAGGATGAAGCGACGGCGTCGAAGGACAGGAGGTGTAGAGGAGCTTGTTGTTGAGGTCAGCTTAGGATTTGAAGGACAGGAGGGCAACAGCATCAGAGGAGGTTTGGAGGTGGCGGTGGGAATGGATTATATTTTAATTATATTATTATTATATTATTTTTTTATAAAATCAGAAATTAAAAATAAAATTATTTTTTATTATTATTTTATAATAAAAAATAATAATATTTTAATAAATTGACTAGGCTATTTTTTTTAGGGATGGAGATGCTTTGGCCTATTATTGTTCACTGGAGTATATTACTGTTCACTTGAGTGGATAAATGCGCTGGGTGCTGATGCAAAGTCTTTAGGGATGGAATTGCACTTATGAGTATCATTCTCATTTCTGACGTATCTTTCATTTAACAAGCACAAACACACAAAGAATGAAAAAAAGTAAGATCTAAAGAGGAAGATGACAACACACAATTTTACTAATGGTAATTGAATTGATTTGTTCAGAGAACAACAAAACTGATACAATTTATAAAGTAGTTAGTCCACTGATATCACCTAAGAAAAACAAAAATTGAAAAAAAATAAATAAATAAAAATACAATCTCAGAAGAAATAATAGCTAGCCACCCTTTCCTGTGTGCACACAATTATTTGCACAGCTTTCCCCTAAGCAGAAAATTTCCCCTTCAAATCATCACGTCCACCGGATTTGCCCGTCGAAATCACCTTTCTTTCTCCTAATCCGGTAACCTCGGAAGCTTAAGCTGCCATCCCGGGAGCTTCGTCCTTCTGCTCTTTCCAGAAAGAAAAATAAATGTTTTGAGTCTTTTATTTACCAAAAAAATTACACTTGTGTGTTTGTGAAACTCGGCGCGGCTATCACTTCCTCTGCCTTCGAAGCTTTGATGAAAAATTCTCAGCACCCGTAAAATAAGGCATCCATCGGTAAGTGCTTCTGGAGCCCCATGCTTCATATAAAATCTGGTAGTGAACATGGACAATCAGCTCATCATGAATTCACATTGCAGTCGCTCAAGAACTGATCTTCTCGGCTCAGAAAAATCTTCCAGTATCGTTTATATTTTGGGATCCCTAACTCAAGCCAAGGTTTCATCTTCCCGTTATAGTGCAACACTGCAGCTTTCTTTATCGGATAAACATCTATGTTATAGTCATGACCTAGAGCAGAGAGAGCCCAAGAACCATCAAGAGGATAAATCAAGTCCCGAAAGGTAAGCAAACTCGCATGTAGTGCAGCGGCTTCATTTACTCCCTCTTGCATCATCACCTGCATATAAATCAGAAAATGCAAATAACTCACGGACAAAAGTTTTAGCAAACCAAAAGGTAAGCATAAAAATTGCTGGAAAGGTTTTGAAGAACAATAACATGTTGGGGTGTGTTCCAAAGATTGTTAAAGGAATTGCAATGATTATAGGTATTAGGTGAACTTAAAATGTCACTCACCTCCGCTACAAACTTTTTGTAAGTTTCAGTGAGATCGAGCTCTCTCCATTTAACCAGATCAATCACATTCAATCCAGACATCCAAGCACATGAATTTTTATCGAAACTGTTCTTGCCAAGAACGCTCTTCAGCAGACTCAACTTCACTGAGCACAACTGCACAGCAGCATTAACTTTCCCTTCCATGTTGAGGCTCCATAGTGCAGACAAGTCCTGCTGGACAACAACATCATCATCCAGAACCACAACTTTCTCCAAATTCTGGAATATCTCAGGGAGAAGATAGTGTGAATGAGAAAAAGTAGATAAGTATTCGGTCCTAGATTGGGCATCAATGCTATAGGAGACAAAGAACTCCAACGGCAGTGAAAGATACAGTTTGCGGTTGTCCAGATTAAGCTGCTCCATGTTTAACACCTCAACTGTGGCTTCCTTGTAAGTATTTCTGAAAAACCATAGTTTCATAGCAAAGTAATTCTCTTGATCTGTCAGCACATGAAAAACAAGTTTCCTGCTATCCTGAAACATGGAAATTTTTTTAATCGGAATCATCACTAGAAGTGAAGCTAATTAGCAGCGAAATACGTATGAGAGAATAACTAATACATACTTTTGCATGCATTACAGTTGAGTTGATTACAACTGACGATGCAAGTACATTAGTGGAGAATATGACATAGTGCTGCAATGTACGATCAATGTATTTGTCAGCCAGAGAGGAGTCGGTTTCGTCAAAAGGAGATCTGAAGTATTCCACAGTCAGCCTCATTGACAGGCAGTGGTGGCTCTTTGGCATCGTCTGGACAGCAAGTTGGTAGAGAAAGACACTTTGTCTCATGTGGAAGTTAGCTTCATCCTCAGTCATGTCATATATTTGTCTCAGTTTCTTGTCAACGTTATTACAATCCACATGGAATGTTTTGGCTTTGGCTGTTGAAGCTTGCAACCTTTGTAGCTTCTTCTCAATCCTGGTGAAACAATTGGCTTTGTGCTTAGTTCAGTGGGGAAGCCGGAAACATTGTCAATTCCCATCAAAAAAGAAATCTAAGAAAACCAGTATAGGACTGTCCCTAGAACAAGGTTCGAAAAATAAAACAGCAGCACAATTTTGCAAGAAATAAAATATGAATTATAAGAACTTTCGCATTTTCAAGGCGATGCGAGAACAAAATTCAACCAGTAGATCTTAAAACGTCAATTGCAAGTATAAAACCCTTTTATGTTGTCATCGAGTGGAAAATGGGGAAATCACAAATAGTTTCCATAACTTACTGTGGGGGAAGATCAGCATCTGTAGTACTTTCACTAAGTACACGCTCTACCTCCTGAATATTTTGTCTCATCTCACGAGACAACTTGTCCTGTGATGCAAGTTTCGCAATACTAGGAAAATATGCTCGAGCCACAAATAGTTGATCCTTCAATCTCTTCACCATAGCATCCTTCATGTCTTCTCTATGTTGTTCACGCCAAAGGCAGTAGCTCCCAAACTTCAACTCACATGATTTTCCACTTTGATCCACACCACCTTTGGCATAATCAATGATTTGAGCTGAGTCACCAGCTTTAGAGTTCTGCCAAAAAGATTCAAATTAAACAGAGCAGAAGACGAAAACTATACAAGGACTTCAGAATAGAATATGACTGACTCATACATACATTTTCAATGGGTTGTGATTGCGGATCATCATGAGGTGGCACTGAATATCCTGCAGTTATTAAAAATAAAATTCAATTTAATATCTATTACATGGCGAGTAAAAAGGATAGACAAACCTTAGAAGGCATTCAACATTAACAGACCTTTTGCTTGTTCATTGTTGTGGACGGCACTGGCTTGTTCATTGTTATGGATGGCACTGACATTTTTGGTTTCATTTTTGGCTTGATCTGAAATAGCTTTACGCGAAATATTCTTTAGTATATCCTGGCACAAAATAAATAACAGTAGAGAAAAAAATCAGGTCACTGATGACTTTAGATGCCTGCATCACATCCTACAATTATTGACCATGTTTGTAGACCAAATGAATAAAATATTGCTGCAATGGTTCCTATAGGTCTTAGTTGCCAAACGTTTCTGAGTCAAAAAATTAATTCTCACATCATGGATTAGTGAATGGCTGCCTTAAGCCAACCCACATGAACCTGGATACGTGGGTGTCCCAAGATACGAATTCTGTTAATTAGGCAGCAACTATGAAAGGAGGGAATACCCGCGAAGAAACTAGTATGGTAAATCATAAAGATATTTCTTCAGTGCGGATCTTTAATTTCCTCGTTTCAAAGATGGATTAAATGCCAAGACTCATAGAAAAAAGCAAATTTGTATGTGACCATAATTAGTTTTCAGCTTCTCCTAAGGTACACAATTCTACAAGAACCAACCAAATGCTGTTTAAAATGATTTATTCATTTTTTTTCTTTCCATATTTTTTTATTGAAAACAATTCATCCATAAAAGCTTATGATCTTCGGTTACTGAACAATACGGTCGTACTTGTCGTAATTCAAAAGGAAGTGTCTATTGATTACTATAGTGTTTATTCCTCAAGCTCCTGAACTAAAAGGTCTAAATCACATCCTGAAGAACTCTTAGATGTGTACAATAATCCAAAGCCCATTGGCACGTTAATCCAGTTAATGGATCTAGCCAATGCCTAAACATAAAGAAAGAAAAATCAAAACCTGCTAATTGCATGTGACTAATTAATTTGTTGTGATAAATTACAAGGTGCCGTACTCGGATATTTCAGAGCTTATTTTGTATTTTGTTATATTTTTCCATAGGTTAGAGCAGCTCAAGCGTGTGCTGGAGCCCGAGGGACAGGCGAGTGAACAGGGCCAGAGAGCCCGAGCAATCAAGCCCAGAGTGTGCTGGCAAGGGAGCCCGAGCAGGCCCGAGCAAGAGGCCCGTGGAGAGTTGCCAGCCCGAGAGGCCAGAGTGGGTTTGATGTAAGGCTGACATCGCCCTGACGTCAGCCACGTTTTTTCTTCTGTTTTGCCTCGGCGTCCGTTGGATCTCAACCAACAAACTTGCCGGAGTTTGCTCCGAGGAGGTGACCAAAAACTGGGCAAGGTTTCAGAGAAATTGCAGGGGGTTAAACCTCTGGTTTCAAACTGGAAAAACACCACAAATCTTGTCCCAAGCAACATTAAGACATAATGAAACAAGATTTGCATAGAGAACCTCACCTGGGTTCGAGTTTCAGATCTTGAAGCTCTTGGCTTCAATTGTGGTTTACACCGTGATGATCCAATGACGCATGCAACGGTATAGCTAGGATCCAAGTATTGAATGGAAAAGAAAACCCAGAAGTGGGATTTTTGTGGGGATGCAAGTATTGAAAGAAAGTAAAATATTTTGTATTATTTTATAAATAAAAAAAATACTAATATTTTATTGCCTATTGTCAGGGCTATTGATGTGCAACGGTGGAGATGCAAAATGCAGTTACTGTTCATTAAGGGCAGTTACTGTTCACTGAGTGGATAGCATAATAGTGGGGGGGGGCCTTTCCCACGGTGAAACTGCTCTTAGCACTTTTTAGAGGACCAAGCCAACACTTAAAAGTCCTTAGATGACCAGGGTTGATGAGGAAGTTGATGAATACCGTAGGCACAGGCACACGGCCAGAAGAATAGATGCCAGTAAATTCTTTGTCACCCCTTAGGCCCTTACACGTTAATAAAAATTAGACTTTTCGGGATAACGACCCTTAATTAGATGAACAAATTCCTAGCATAATTCATCTAAAATGAGGCCCAAGGTCTACTATCAAGAGAATATCAACACGAAACTATTCCCTTTATCAACAAATATCACACGTTTCAGTAAAAGTCGTCTGAAAGCGTAGTGATGATTCATCTAGAAGCCTATTTTCATTTGACTAATCACGCATTGTAATCGCCCAAACACAAAGTAATCAAATTGAAAGCAGGGGTACCATAAAGAAACAAACATCAGAGCAGTGTGCAACGAATCAAACCTTTGAAAGGGTTGGTGCGAACTTTTTCACGAGATCATCTACATGCTTCGAGCCAACCCCCTGCAAGAAACCAAAAAATCATTAATTTATCTCCACCAATGTGTATCTGTTCGTGAATTCGATTTACAAAGGTGGCTAGTATGGTATACCCCTGATATATTAGAAGCGTTTATGATGATTCTTGTACCATATACTCCAATCTGACACCGAATTGAAAAACCGAAAAACGGATTAAAAACAGATCAACACCAAGAATGTAGGAAACAGAAAAGAATTCCAAATTAACAAAACAAAAGTTCTAGTTCTTACTGAAGGCGAACTTCGTTGTTCTGGTACATAACCTGCATTTGTGAACAAAAAGAACAAATCGAGATTTGAGAGAGATCCAAAACTACCATTGCAAAAGCAAAATCGGATCGGAGAGAAACAGATCTAGAGAGAGAGGAAGTTACCGGGAGGGTGAAAGCCATTGTGAAGGCCGAGAAGGAAGAGAAGAGGAACGAGCATGGAAAGAAAAACCAGACCCAACACTCCAATCACCAGCCCCTTCCATCGCCGCTTCCCGGAATGACCACCGCCCGCAACCCCGCCCTTCATTGCTCCGCCAACCCCTCCTAATCCGATCTCATTGCAGCAATTAAGCACCAAATCCACGACAATTAACGATAATCAACACCAATCCTCCTCCTCCTTCTTCTTCCTCCTCCTCCGGTTGTTGTAGCAGTGCCGATATCAAATGCGAAGTCCCACCCGCACTCGCACTCCCAATCGCCGTCGCGGTCGGCGTCGCATCAACAAGCGAAACGCGGTGCTTCCTCTGTGGCATGAATCATTCCTTCTAATGATTTGATTGCTTGCTTCTGAGCTGAGTCTCTCCCACTGCGATTCCGAATCAAGGACGGGACGGGATTGGACTGGATTGGACAGTCCGGCACCGATTGGATTTTGCTACTTACAAACTGCGATTCTGTTCTTATTTTCTGAGGGAAAGAAAAAGAGAAAAGAAAAGAGAAGAGCTTACCGTAGTCTCGAGCTTTTTGGTGGGATTAAATTCTTTACCCGTTCGGTTGATATTTATTTATTTTGTTTGTTTTTATTTTTGGTTCCGTATACTATCAGGTAGTGTTATTATTTTGCATTATACAAGTGTGATATTCTAATTACTTTGCTCAATTTTTAATAAGACGTGAAATAATATGATATATAAGTTGTGTTTTTTTTTAATTTACATAAAATAAGTTCATCGTAATGTTCTAATTCAGTAATACAATTTCATATTTAAATTTCTTTTACATAATTCTTCATTATTGGATTGAGATGCAAATGACGATGAATATATTCAATATAAGAATTGTTAATTAATGCTAAGCAACAATTCACTTTAATGTCATACTCTTACAAGTTTCCGCTACTAAGCTCGACAAATTGTTCTGTATTTTATATGGGTAATATGTATTTAGTCTTTTCAACATAAAAATAAAAAAATATTAGAGCTCGTTTGGATATATTTTTAAAATGACTAAAAGTACTTTTAGAGAAAATATTTTTAGGTTTCAAAAGCACTTGAAGTACTTTCTGCAAGAAGTACTAGTTATGTGATTCTTCTAGGAAGCACTTTAAATATTTTTCCAGGATTTACTTGTATTTTTATTAAGATTTGGTTTAAAAAATATTTTCACTAAAAGTACTTTCAGTCATTTTAAAAGTATATCTAAACAAGCGTTCATAAACTAACCATAGCGGACTTACATTGCAGCGAAAATATGACACAAACTCAATTTCATAATTGTATTTGTATAAATTTACAACCCGACTATAAATTTTGAGTATTAGTCGAATTTTCATTTAAAATGCAACTGTTGAGTTTTCAAACAATCTTACATTCTTACTTACGAAGATTACGAAAAGTACTTGTGCCGTTTAAAACATTTCTGTCGCAATAACATGCATGGGTTCCACGTCCAAATGAAATTTTTAGTGTATCGAAAACATGTTTCGATACATTAAATATTATAATTCAAATACTTGTAAATTTTTTTTATCCAACCACTTATATTACATTTAATATATTGAGAAATTTTATTTGAACCCTAAGAACTTTTGTCCACACCCAACTTAAACATTTTTGCTATTAAGGTCTTTACTTTACCCCTAAATTAATGTGAGATAAGAAAAATACATTGAAAGGAGATGAACCCATATCGGCCCCACCAAAGCCCTGCTTTCCGGCGTCTTCTTCAATGAGGCGGGTGAATCTTTTGTGCTAGCGTCTTATCTTTTCAGGCTCTTTTTCCGTTCTCTTTGTTCCAATCCTATATTCTTCTCCTCTTCCTCCTCCTCCTCCTCTTCTTTATTGCTCACTTCCTTCAACCGACAAATGCCGAAAGCAAATCGAGGCCTACACAGTTTTCGAATGTTACAGAGTCGGTGATGTGGAGAATCTCGACCAAGGGTACCTCTGTGTTGTATGGAAAACGTTAGATGTCAAAACTTGTGGAAGGTAAATGGGCTGCTATAGAAGGCATAAGTTGCCATGAAAAATCACCAGCAAATCTCTGGTGGGGTTTGAGGTGGAAGTGACTGTGGGTGTAAAAAGATATTTTGATTTTGTTTATTATTTTTCAGTTTTATAGGGGGTGAACTAGGAATTTGAATAAAATATTTTAAAATTGAGTGTAAAAAGAGATTGAATAGGTTTTAATAAAATTTTTCTAATATATTAAACTGTAATTCTGTCACATTGAAAAATCTCTCGGATGCCTAGCACCAAAACTAATTTAACCGTTTTGGTCAAAACAAAAAAAAAGAAAAAAAGAAAAGAAGGTACAACCCTTTTTGGTGAACTTTCGGAGAAGTAGCTGAGTCATAAGCTATCCAATTGAGAAGTTGAGCAAAAGCGAAAAAATGTTGGTCGCAGAAAAGAGCCTTATCTTTAGCAGTAGCCGCAACCTCTCACCTTATCTGTTGCTGAAGAGAAAAAATGGCAGGGAATTTGGAAGCACATTCTTATTAGCCAAAAGGGAAGATATGCCTGAAGATTCGAGGAGATCGCAGGATCAACAGTCGGTCTTTCCGTTGAGGATTCGGGTTTCGAACACGGTTCTTGCGAGGGCTGCGGTTGCGGTGTTCGGGTTGGGATTCATCGATGCAGGATACAGTGGAGACTGGTCGAGGATTGGAGCGATTTCAAAAGAGAGTGAGGAGTTGCTGAAGATTTCTGCATTTCTTGTTGTTCCGTTTTGCTTGTTTCTCATAATTTCCTTCTCTAAAGAAGCTGAGGACTGAATTGTAAGCTGCCGGGGTTCTGTGTAATTTTGTATGCTCAAAACTCAAAAGCGCTTGTGCTAGAAGTGCTTTTATTAGAAGAGTGTCTAAAGTTTTGTTAGAAATTCAAGTGCTTGAAGTTGGAAGTGCTTCTCTACGAAACATAAGATACGTTTGAAACTGTTTTTGTAGAAAGCATTTCTGCTAACAAACGCTTATGTCACCTGGTTTTACTATAAACTTTTCAAAATATTTGGAAAAATACTTGGAAGCGCTTTCTGAAAAAACATCTGGGTACTTCTCAAGAAAGTGTGTATGCAACTCATGCTTAACTTTAAGTTATATGTTAAACGTAACCAGAAACGTTTTTAGTTGTCAAAAAACACTTTCAACTGTTTCAAAAAACAATTTCAAACAGACCAACCAAAGATTACATTTCTATGTGACCGTTGACACGAAGAACATTACATATTTTTTAGCTATATTTATGTATATCTGGATATAGGAAAAATTACAATTACAAAAGAAGAAATTAATAAACACCAAACTCTGCAGAACTCCTTATAATTACTACTTGGGTTCGATTTTCGCTGAAACTGCGTATCCACCACTGTAATCAAAGGTGCCGGAGCTGTCATTGACATCCTTTTTCGGCAAGCCATCGTTGTAGGGATGTTTTGGAGCACCTTTTGATGCTGCAAACTCTGTGGCTGATGAAGATGCTGATGTCGAGTTTGTGTTCATCCCATCATTCTGCAGAATGGTTTCGATAGCCTTCACAAGTTCACTCATTGTGGGACGATCTGCAGCTGAATCTTCGACGCATTGCATGGCTAGCTCCAAGAACCTCCCAAACCCGATGAGAGTCCCTGAGTTTCGAATGCTTCGGTCTATTAAGTCCCCCAAACCGCAATGCTCTTCGTCATTCTTGTCCATCACTAATCGTACCTCGCGGACAATGTATTTTCCCTTCTCAATCGGTTGCCTAGCAGTTATCAGTTCAAGCATTACAACTCCAAAGCTGTATACATCGCTCTTCTCGGTCAATTGTTGAGTCATGTAGTACTCAGGATCCAGATATCCCTGAAAGTCGAGACAGTAGCTTACAATACAAGAAATGTTGGAACTGGAAAACACGATTTTCCTGCTTTGCGCTTACCCTAGCAGATCACATTTCAGGCAGTTATAAATCATAATTTTCGAAATGCAAATTGTAAAGCTTACCAGTGTGCCTTTGACCTGAGTCGAGACATGTCCTTTTCCGCTGTCAGAGATCAGCTTGGACAAGCCAAAATCTGCAACCTTTGCAGTTAAATGTTCATCTAATAAAATATTGGAGGACTTAACATCTCTATGGATTATAGGAGGATTCGCAAGCTCGTGTAAGTAAGCCAGTCCTCTTGCCGAGCCAAGAGTGATTCGGAGTCTCCTCTTCCAATCGAGATAAATACCAGATCTCCCTGCAACTCATATTCAAGCAAAGCTCGTCATTACGGTTAGTGCCAAATGACGCGCAGATTGAAAACTAAAAAGTATGAAATAAAAGAAAAACGCAGAACTAACCCAACAAGCTTTCCCTAAGCGTTCCATTAGGCATAAACTCATAAACCAGCATCTGCTCTCCTTGTTCGAAACAGAATCCCAAAAGACCAACCACATTTTTGTGATGAACGCGTGAGAGCAACTCAATCTCAGTCTTGAACTCGAGGCCGCCCTGCATTGATCCTTGCTGAGCTCTTTTGATTGCTATTACTTGTCCATCAGAAAGGATGCCCCTGTAAACCTAGGGATAACCAACCAAAAGGTATATGAAAATAATCTTTTAACTTCAAGTAGAACTTCATAGATGTTACTGAACGAGTTTAATATTTACCTTCCCGTAGCCACCTGATCCTATCTCATTACTGTCGGAGAAATTATTGGTGCACTTCTTAAGCTCGTCATACGAAAACCATCTTGCTCCCTTTAACTGTGGTGCACCGCCACTATCTTTTCCGCTTGGCCCCCAAGAAGCTGGACGATAGAGAAGAGTGGTGAATGTAAGCCGACCAGTGTATAGTATTAATGACAGAATTTCAGTCTACCAATTATCCACAACAGGAATGATTACTAACCGAAAGGTCTGCTTAATCCAATGGCTCTTTCCGCACGTTTCTTTTGCCTAATGGCGTAAATGCCTACTACCACGAGGCCCAGAACAAGAACGAGACAACCAGCTGATATCCCAATAATAACACCAGTGCTCATAGAGCTTTTATGCGCGTCTGAAACAATTCGGGGTTTTTACTGTCAGTTTAACTGATCTTCTAATGCAGGGAGAATGTATACGAAGTAACACTGCGATTAAAAATTACCTGGGAAATTATATTGAGCTGGAATAAAAATGTAGGGTCCAAACTCCTTCGGCGGCTTGTAAGTCTGATTGCTCAAATCAAAACCAATCCTGATAACCTCTGACCTGTTAAAATGTGTTCCTGAAGATGGAAAGAGTGCCAGATGTATTTGAAGATAGTCATTGATGTCGAAGAAAGGGTTTTCAAGTGACACTGAACCGGGAGTGAGGCCAAGTTTCACCCATATGCTCATTTCTAGTGAGTGAAACAGATTCACATTTGTCAAATCCCTGAAAGAGGGTGCTCGGAAATACAATGTTCCTTCGAAAGGATATCCACATTGACAACTCTGAGGGCTTTGCTGCTGACCCCCGGGGCATGTAGCAGATGGACAATTCGTGCTGGTAGTATATGGTCTCGTATTTGGTTGTGGAAGCTGACAGAAAGCATTTGAGCTTGACCCATTGGTGCACACCGGGTTCCCCACAAGTCTGCAATATGTAAAAGTGACAACTAAGACTGATTGTCCCGGGAAGATGCACAATATCGTAGAAAATGAAGATCAAGGCGCATAAACCGTCTTACATTAATGTATTTTGGTATTCATAACCCAGAGTTATTCTGGGAATATCATTGTTCTGCAAATCAACAAGCGTCAGTTGCTGACTGATACTATCACCCATGTTTAATGTATCATTGAACGCATTGTTTTTCAGTTTCCTGTCAAGAGTGGGAAAAAGGATGTATGGTCAGTTTACTAAAATTACGGTAAAAGCTCAATGTAGTATTCCATATTCTCCTCACGCTTACACTTGCTCCAATGACGGGATGCTGAACATCTTCTCTGGCACTGTCCCTTGAAGTGCTCCATATTCTAAAACACTGGCGTCATAACAGTAGAGAATTTAAACATAAATATTACAATAAAGTTTTCAGAACCTCCTACGGCATTTTCGTGTAACTCCTACAGACTTACATAGTGGTGAGCGAGGGTAAGGTTGAGAACCAACGCGGAGCTTCTGATGGATCAAAGGAGTTGTTACTAAGGTCTCTGAAGAAAAACCGTTAGGATATATCAGTACAACACAAGGACAAGTGAACAATCCACAGAAATCTGAAATTGCAAATGATAGCTCTATGCCATGTACTCACACATAATTGAGGGAATTCAATCCAGTTAAGTCGGGTAAAGAGCCATTCAAATCGTTGTAGGCCAAATTTCTGGATGAGAATATAAAAACCATGTAAAAGCTGATTAACCATCACTGAGATCAAGGTAAAAGCACATCAAAGTATTTTCTTGGAAAATTTGTACTCACAGTTCACCGAGATTTATAAGGTTGGTGATATTTGAGGAGACTGGTCCCGTCAGAGCATTTCTATCAAGCCGACTGTTGCAAACAAGAACGGTTTTAGTCCAACAAGTGTCAAGAAGCGGTTACACTTAAAATGTAGAAGAAAAAGCAAAATCAAGATGGTTTTTTACTCACAGAACCTCAAGAGTCTGAACAGAAAATATTGTTGATGGAATAGTCCCACTGAATCTATTTCCATCAAACAATCTGCGAATAAAGAATGACGAGCAGTTGATGAGTACAAGTATAGAACATAAACTGATAGATAGGACCCGAAAAAATTAAAAACTGATTGTTCGGAGCGACTTACACATGGATCAGTACCATCTTGGAGCTGAAAAGTCTGGGTGAAATGATACCTGAAAGCTGGTTCTGGTTGAAATGGCTGCAAGTTCATATAACAGTTTAATGTTTACGCAATAAGCAGTGGCATAATCCTTACAAGAATTTTTTTTTTTTTTTCAGAATGGAGAGTTTCAAAACGTAAAACACTCACAAATGTTTAGCCTTCACCAGTTGATCTAAGCCGGGAGCAACGGCGGTTGAAACTGGGATAGGTCCAGTCAACTGATTGTCTGCCAGGTCCAGCCAGTAGAGGTTGGAGAGTTTACCAAGAGAAGCAGGTATCCTACCGGTGAAGTTATTCGTATTCAAAGCCCTGAAAGAAACAAAAGTTATATAAACTTCTGAAAAGTAAAACATCATATTGGTTTGCAATAACAGTACAAATTATCAGTCCGATTCTTACAAGAAGGTTAGCTCTTTTAGATTCCCCAATTCACTCGGAATACTTCCACTGAAGCTGCAACCAGCTAGGATCCTAAACGATGAAAACAGTCTCGTATACTTATCTGATATAAAAACTCATGTTGCATATATGAAGTTCAAAAGGTGCAGATGTGAAATTGTTCTTACAGGATGTTTAGCTTGCTCAGATCCCCTAATCGCGGAGAGAGAGAACCGGTGAGACCTTTGTTGAATGAAAGATCCCTGCAATGTTAACGTTTCAGATTCGTTACAAAAAGAATTCCATCCCTAATCAAAATTTAGCTAAACAAAACAACTGACACTGCAAAATAAATATGTTTTATGCATACGTTTACAATTAGACATCAAATTTGTTGTGTGTTGTTCAGTTCATAATATGCTGCAAACATAAAGCTGGTACGAAATGAGGAACAATCATACTCACAAGGATCTTAATTCAGAGAGGCCCCCGATGTCGCCTTCAATTTTCCCTTTCACGTTTATTGCTGATAATCCCCTGCACGGTAAAAATCAGAAGAGGTTCTGGTTCAAAACTTGATTAAGAAAGTAAGCGAGAATGCTCGTAATTACAAGGATCACATCAGAATTCAAGGATGAACAACACTCACAATGCAGTCACCCTCGAGTCGTTGCAAGTGACGCCTTCCCATTGAGCCCCACACGGATCGCTTGACTTGTCCCAGCTGGGTGGAACATTGCTCCATGTCTGCTTCAAGGATTGGAGTGCACTAGCTGAACCAACACAGTTATACGTCAATCAACTACCCTTAATTGAAACAATGAGGGTTTAGACCGAAGTTTAACCAAAACTTCAAAATAATTCACATTAAACCTAAATTAAATGGACTAATCGCTAAGTATCCATACACGCCCGAGAGAGAACCTACACCAAGGACCGATGTCATTGTACTCGTATCCCAAACCAATCACACACTGCCATCAATTTTTACTTTCCAACATAACAAGGTATGGTTAGTTTGGAATACAGACACGAAGAATAGAAGGATGAACATGATATCACAAAAAATCTCCCAAGTCAACGGATATGAAGGTATGCTTTCAAATTATAGACCAAAAGTAGAAACTACACAAAACCCAATTTTCCCATGAATTAGGATATATATATATATATATATATTAATTATATGAGAAATAATCATTGATAGTTAAGACTATACATACCATCATCCGGGTTTGTAACTGAGGAGATCACATGAAGCCTAGAAAAGCACAAAGCCAGAAAGAGCAGCAGCAACCGCATGGTTGCCATAGCAAATCAGCAGAAATGGTGTATCAAACTGTGAGGCCGATCAGCTAACAAGCAGAAGCCAAAAGCACATTTGTGCAAAATTCTACTTCCTTCAAATGTCAAAAAAAGAAAGCACTTTTCAAATATTTCTTCTTCCACTATACAAACCAACTACTACACCACTTGGACTTTGATTTAAAGAGGAAAATCTGGAGTCCCACCCATGCAAGTACATGCTAAATCTCCATGTTCCCACCAAGCAACCAAAAAGTGCTTTTCTTGGAAGCTCTGCTTAATTCTGAGCAATGAAGCTGGATTTTCTGAGTTGGGTTTTTTCAACTGTCTCCAAAAAAGGCCCTGCACGCTCCAATATCTAGAGAGAGAATCTAGAGAGAGACAGAGAGAGACGAGGAAAAAGGTTAGGGCTGGCTTTCTAGAGCTTCTTTTAAATGATTAAGCCTTGTCTTAGAAGCCAAAGCAATTGATTAAACCCAACAACCGAAATCATCATAGCTTTCAGGTTAGTCCAAAACAAAAACCACCATCACCTCATCACTACCTGCCGGGATCATTAATTCATAAATATTGGATTAAGGCTAAATTTAGTTAAACAAAGTGATTAAGTTAATTAAATACGGTGGGAGGTTTTACCGTTTCCTCCGCCCGCCCTCGCAATTTCTGACGGACAATTAGCATAAGACAAATACGGCGAAGGAAGCAACCGACAAAGCAAGCATCTTTTGACTATACAACCCAAAGGGTCTCACGATGATTAAATTATGAAAATTAATTAAGATTATAGCTTGCAAATTAAACAAGAGATTCAGGGTACAGTTGGCTTTAGGTGGAAGTGGGTCCCAAACACTGACTGACATGAGAATCAAGGCGATGGGGCTCCTTCGGCTGGGTCCTGGGACCCTTCCTGGTTTGATCCATTTTCTTTCCTTGTTGAATGGAATATGAACAATGTTCGGTCGTTTTATTTGGAAAATTCTTTTAAGTAATCTGAAAATTAAGTCCAATTAATTGTTGAAATTAATATCGATGACATAACAACCAAATATGATCATGTTGCGATCAGATGTTAAGAACATAAACACTAATCATTTTACTAATTGAGATATAATAAATGATAATTTTAATCAAATGTATTATTTTATAACTGTCAAATGCTAATTTGTAAGTAAAATGATGTTCGTCGTAATTGAAGAAAGAAGGCTCCTTACATATAAAGAGTTCAAAATAATGTTCTTTCTTATATGGTAAGCCGTCTTTGAAGTCATTATTTCTTACTTATAAATTATTGTATAATTAATACGAGAAAAACTTACACGTAATAAAAAATGATGAATATTGTCAATTTAGGGTCGTTGCATGAGAATCTAAACAACATATAAGTTAAACCCTAATTTATTAGGAACCAGTTTTCGTAAGAAATGGATAAGAGGAGTAGGGAGTAAGACGACCTATGCCTCTGGGGTGTGTGTAATTAATGTCATTGCCTCCACTAGGTGGTGACGGTTGAGGCCATTTTTATCATGGTAGGGTCTTCTTCCTCCTTTCTTTTCTTAGCATTCAAGCATATATAATTACAGATGAGATCCACATCATTTCTAGAGTGCAATTGTGTCTAGAAAACATCCAAATTCACAAACTAATAGAGTACAAATTGTCTAACAAATCCAGCTAAAGTTTTGAGATGACGTGTGTCATTTGATTGTGGTCAGGTGCGGTTGAAATACTTTTAGCTTTTTTGGGATTCACGATGATCGCCACCATAAGCAATCATCAACGAAGAAGAACACTGCTTCCGCCTTAGTAGGGATTAGTCCTAATCTTCGGGGTGTGAGATACCTCAGGCTTTGGGGGAAAAAACACCAATAACAACTCCAACTAAAGTTTTTTTTTTGTTCATAAAGAAAATGCAAGCTAAGGGAACCAAAGGCGCAACATTGTGTAAGAGATTTATAGTTCAAATAGTTAAGGGTATTTAAATTTGTAGACAACTTAGAGTTTGATTCTCTCCTTTTCAACGCCTACTGAGTTCGAATAGTACTTATTTAACGTATCTAACATTGAGTTTGACCTCATTATCTTAGATAGGGCAATTCCAAGCTAATACTAATAGAATGTGCCCCGCAAATGAGTCTCACATTCATCCGTATGGCTTATAGTTCTAGACTCTTGGGTGGCATGACTTGCACATGGAAGCCAAAGACAGAGACTGCACAGAGGCATAGATCAATAAGGTATCGTTTGGTATGCAGACGGGACGGGACGGAACGAAATGGGACGGGACGGGACAGGACAGGACGGAACGGAACGGAGCGGGAGCAAAGATGCCCTCGGATGGAAACAAGGAGGAAGAAGAAGGAGACGGAGAGGTTATAATTTTGTGTTCCACGGATGTGGAACGAGTCGTTCCAGGGGGGTGAGGCGGAACGAAAATTCACCCAAAACTCGTCCCTTGGAACAGCTCGTTCCACCCGTTTTAGGCGCACCAAACGTGGGACGGAACGCCTTGTCCCACTCTGTTCCGTCCCGTCCTACGTACCAAACGGTACCTAAGTGGTGCAGTTACCATTGTACTATTTGCTAAAGGTTTTATTTTATGTCAAATGATCAAATCAAACCACAAATATCTCAGCACGCCGTTGCCGAGGATCTATCATTGTTGACTTTTAGGCATCGTTTGGACAAAGATTCGTTCTGCCAAACCCTTTTCACTCCGCTTAGCCCTATTTCTCTTTAGGGGTGTTTTAGTGATAGGTTTTATAGGTGATAGTATGGATCGTACATGGGCAGTAGTTGGAGTCAGCGGCTTTTCTGAAGTTCCTTCATCTAGGATCCCTGAGGAAGATGATCAAGTTGGCCCTTGCGAACAGCTTGATGGATCCCATGATTCTAAACCGATCTTACTTGAGATCACACCAAAGGTGTCCTTGGGGTGATCTCGTAGTTCCTAAAGGATGGAGACGATGAGGTCTATCTATGAGTTTTTCTTCCTTTTGCCGCATTTCGCTTTGTTTTATCAAATGATTAGGTTTTCTTTAAATTAATAAGTTGAGTCTCAGTATTTATAAGTTCACAAAATAGCAGCAAGATATTACTTCTAAACCGAGCCACCAGATGGGCAATATTCACTCACATAACTGAGATTTTGAGTTCGACTCACCATCCTAAAAACCACTTACGTAAAAGCATATTCCTTTCCATCTGTACATATGGTTGATTATGAAAGAGAATTTACATGGAATGAGTGCACTGTTATTTGGCATCCAGGAATGAGAATGCATTATTTAGACCAGAACGTTACGATAGCTGATTATAAACCCGTTTCATGTAAATTGCTCTCCTAATTATAAGCATGTCGCAATAACTATTGTTCTTATCCAAGTGAGGAGTGACAGTTGTCTTGTGACTAAACTGATGTCTGGACAAGACATACAGTTGACACAAATTATGTCTACTTTCATTTGAATGGCTAAGAACCCTTTCATCCCAAACCAAACGTTGCTGGCTTACATCTGTGCTGTGAACACCTAAACCAGTAGCCTTGCTATTGCCAGCACTTTTGAGTTCGACACTTGTCCAAAAAAAATTGAGTTTGATCTAATTTTAGGTTATGATTCATGAATCATGTAGGACATATGCAACAGTTTTTTGGTACAATATTAAGTGCGATGTTTTCTTAGTTCTACTGAGACAACTTGAGTCACTTTAATGCAGCTCGCGCAGTTAAGTGGAAGACAATATCGATGCAATACGGGAGACAACATGTTTATCCCGAGAGGCTTCCGGTTCGGAGCTAGTAGCCTGGTTAGCTTTATCTTGACCCCCAAAAAAGGAGAAAAAAATTTCTGCATCCGTTTCATGAGTATGTTCATCTATATGCCCTTTAGTGTTGGACTTTTTAAGTTTATCACATCGGCATGCGCATGATGACATTGATTAGTACGTTTGCGCATGGATTAAGCGGTACCACACTGGTGTTTGTTAGGGGTTTGTCAAATGATCAAAACCACTACAAAAATATTTTCCACACACGGTTTTTCTTCTTTTTATAAACTCTTAATTAATTTCAATTCCATGATTTTTTTTAAATTTATTTTATTGAAAAATCAGAAATACACATGAGTGTGTAGAGGAAACAAAAAGGTGATTTTCACACACTTTTTAGTATCTCACACATCATTTTTTTTTTTAACAAATGATATTTATACTAAGAGGGTGAGGGAGTGGACTAAGTCTCACAATGGGCTAGCCATATAATGTGATTCAAATTCGCCTTTTACGAGAATTGAACTTAAGACCTTTAGGCATATAATATGGTTCAAATTCGTCATTGACGAGAATCGAACGAGCCTAATACATTATGCCATATAATGTGATTCAAATTTACCTATAACAAGAATTGAACGAACCTAAGACTTCTCACTTATAAGTGAAAATGAATATCACTAGACCGTAGTACTAAGTGACTTCACACACTATTTTTAATTTTTAATCATCAGATTAGATAAATCAAATAAAATTAACAGATATAATTCAATAAAAATATGTAAAACCTTAAAAATGACGTGTGTTTATCATTTAAAAAAACAAAAGTGGAAAAATCATTCCCGAAGTCCAAATATCTCAGGTCCAAGTCTAACCATTGTCAAGGCTCTTTTACAATTGACTATGAGGAGAAGGGACAAACCCAAAAAGCACCTTTTGACTGGTTCAAAAGCTAGCACTAGTTGGGCAGAGGGATTTCATGTGGAATGGAACTTTTTAAAGCACGAGTCCATACATTCCACCTGGTTCTACGGAAGATTCATCAAATAAAATCAGATCGTACGTATGTAAAGAACACACAGAAGATAAGGAGAGGAAAGACTTGAGTATATGATTCCCCATTTCACAATGTTGACTTGGAACTCAAATAAAAACCAATCATGAGAAGATTTGGAAGTTACCATTTCATCCTCCTTAGTTTCGAATTTAAATCCTCTCTGGACTTTATTGTCCAGAACTTAAAAATCAAGAAATTCGGATTATTCAAGAGACAGAAAGAGAGATTCGGGCCCTTAGTTTATGTGAGGTGGGTCAATAAAATGAGACAATGGGAATCGTCAGATTCAAGTTGAGTAGTCCGAATTTCTTGATCATGAGCTCTGCACAGTGAAATCTGGAGAGGATCCTCAATTTCATACCATCCTCCAAAAATTGGTCAAAAACTCTAATATTTTTATTCAAGCAATGTTTTATCTAATTTAAACTACAATATATATATATATATAAGCTAATTGAATGTAAATAGTGGTGCATTGTTCTCATCAAACTTGGCTGAAAGATCTTGTTTTGACCATTTAAGATTTCGTAGCTTAATGGGGAGACTAACAGAAAGTAACAGGCACCCGAACCACTGCATACCAGATTGCCGAAAAGTCTTCTACGTGTAAAAGTGTCAAGCAAGAGGGATTGTGACGGAAAATACATGCACAATATCATAGAAATCAAACGGCCCTTTAATTACGGTTAAACTTTGACGCATATTTTTCTTCGAGTGTTCTCCCTAAAACTTTCGCTGTAATTCTGGATGGCCGAAAAGCTTCTTTGGCAGAGGCCCCTGTAGTGATCCAAATTCTATTATCTTGTTGCCATGACAAAGTAGAGAGAGTTCAATAAATTTTCGCACGGTCAGTCTTGTTTATGTTTGTCACTTGATTATTGTTGAATATATTTGATCCAAAGATCTTAAATGAATAAGGATGTGCATAAATCATTCCTTCGTAATACCATGATAATCAA